ATACGTGTGTGTATATGTATGTATATATAATTGTTTGTTTTAACTAATTACATATTAATTTTTTATGAAATAAATATATAAATAAAATAAGTAACATAATAAAAAAAAAGTTAAACTAAGTTGTTTTTTTATTAGTAGCCAAACCAAGTTGTTTGCTAGCTTAAAACAAATTGAATTCAAGCAAAAAGAAATGTTTATTATCGATAGAGTATTTATTTCCAATCACATTTTTTTAATAACGGATCATCGACACTTGTTTGATTAAATATTTATTTTAAAATAGAGTTAAAAATAACTAATAAAAGTATAAAATAAATATTTATTTTATATAATTAAAATTTATAATAAATAAGTTTTTTAAAATATATAAATAGATTGGTGTAAAAAAATATTTAACTAAATTATAGTTTTAATTTTTTATCTTATTTTTTAGATTTATTTTTGTCACCTATCTTTTATATTTGAATCAATTTGGTTATATAAACTAATGATCATTTTTTTAAAAAAAATTTAACACGATTTTAAATAAATTTTTAATTGATCCGACATGTAAGACTTTAAAATTAAATTTATCTATATAAGAATTATGAAATTTAATTAACATTTGAATCTAACAGTTTATATGCATAATGAAAATTGTGTGGAAAATATTCCACATGTAACTAAAAAATATTAAGAAATTATATCTTTTGAATTTTTGGATTATTTTTTCAACTTATTTTTATACAATTTTCATCATATTTACAATATTTTATAGTTTGAGCTTGAGTTGCGAACTCCCATTCAATAATTTTCATATAAATAAATCTAGGTTGAATTGCAATTTTGGTCCTTTATTTTTTATCAATCTGTAATTGTGATTCATCTATTTTAAGATATAAGCATTTTATCTTTCTAATTTTAAAAATACTAAATTTTGGTCCTTCCATGAAATTGACATATACTAATTGTTAAGTTTTAATGTTTACTCATACTTAAGTAATATGATATTTAGTAATATGATATGTACAAATAAAAGCTGAAAAAATATAAATAATTAATAATATAAAAGCTTAAATATGTTTCAATCCCTTAAGTTTAAGATAAATTTGTTTTTAATCCCTTAAATCTAAAATTAGTATTTTTAGCCCCTATAATTTCAAAAAAAAAAATTTATTTTAGTCGTTATACTCAAATTTTGTTAAAAAAATCTTTCTAATATCATCGCATAAAATCTACCTATCAATATCCTTATTAGTAAAAACATTACATTAAACTTAGCTGATATTGCATAGTTGTCTCAAACCGTTACTTTCATATATGTTATTAGTGACTTGAGTGACTAAAATAAGATTTTTAAAAATTAAGAAATTAAAAACAACAATTTTAAATTTGAGGGACAAAAATCAATTTTTCCTTAAATTTGAGGAACTAAAATCAATAACTCGTAAAAATATATATAGAAGAATATCATATATATGTTATTTTAAATTTTTATCATTATACATCATAGACATTATATGAAATTAATGTTCATCATTATTATTTCCGAAACATTCTCAAATATGTTCAATAAGATTTGCTTAAAATCTGGTAAGGAACGGTTGCTTGAGGAAGCAACTCTCTCTCTTCTTCAAGCAACTCATGTTACCACGTCAGAATCCTCCAATAATAAAAAATCGGGACTTGAGTTGCTTCATGGGACAAGCAATTCCCATTAGAGTTGCTCTAAGTTTAAAAAATTTTCATCAAATTTTACTCTAATGCAAATGAATTGTTAACTTCAATTTGTGGGCTTTACCATATAATTTTCTCTCTCACATATAACAATAATATTCTCTTTCTTATAGCACTTCTGTCATAATATATATATATATATATATATATATATATATATACAAAATC